GTGTGTCCTGGTTACCTCACTCACCAGACAAAACACAAAAGTGTAGCACGATTTTTTTTTGAGGTCTTGGTAATTCCACGGATGGAACCACCCGTTTGTGCATTAGCAAAGACGGCCTTACCGCAGTTCAACATTCTTTCAAAGCTTTCATATTAACTCGATTTTGCTTACTTTTAAAGACTCTCTGTAGTCGTAATTGAAATAGATCAATGTTTCAAATATTTGATTGTCGCATTGTATTCGCATTAACCCGTATTCTGTGTTTAGTTGTTTCTTTAAATTATGTATTGCGCAAAGAATCAATAGATCTGTAAGTATATATAATTCAAATATTTAACTTGCATCTTTTGATTTCTACTAATACATAGTCGCCATCTTATCTTAACTTAGACGTTACAATTCGAAGGAATCCATATAGTAATAATTACAGTTTTCTTCTTCTTTACGTATCTAAGCAAAATCAAATCTTTCCGGCCCTGAACTTAGCCACTTCGAGCACAATTTGTGGCATCCATCAAATACTGCAGCGAACGGGTGAAATAATTACAGTAAAGGGTAATATTAGGTTGGATATTTAGAAAATACACTCCGTAACGATCTTGCATCGAGAGTTGTGTACCGCGTGACTGGTAGTCACCCCACTTTTTGGTAATTGCTTTACATGTATTTGTGTTTGTGTATGAAAATGGAGGACGCACTAGCTCAGCCTATTCGCGTTTGTCTTAAACCTCCCACGGTACATTCGTCCGGACAAGCAGACCGATTACACGTCAATGCTACGCATCATGCACGATGGTGAAATCGAAATCAAATGCAAGTAGACGAATAAGAAGTCTACGGCATCAACTGCCGCCTTCGCTTGGCGTACGGTACGGTAACAAGTTCGAGGGCATTCGCGCCTTAGTGCGTATTGCCAATATCGGGGCGGGCAGCGCGCCGATGATACGGGAACCGCTCCGAACAATAACACTTATCTCGGAGCCACGAAATTATCGCTCATTCATATTCATAAGACGCAAATGTAGTGCTCCGGGCGATTGCGAACGGTATATGGTACGCGGGCCGTAGGGGGGAGGGGAGCGGGGCGGAGGGGCTAGCGAAATGCGTTATACTTCTGGTGGGAAGGGAGCCGACTCATTAGAATTCTATGTTTGATATTAAAACGCCTCGAATTTGTTGGATCGCGTTTCCGAATGATAAAATCGGTGGGACGCTGGGGATGGGGGGGATGGAAACAGACGTAAATGAAATGCTACGGAGTATCGATGAATATTATTAATTGAGCCGAGTGGGTTGTTGTTTTTCTCCCCGAATTCTCAAAACGGTAAGATAAATAATAATTTGAAAGGCGTAATAAGTAAGGAAATTGTCTTTCATTCTATTATACACATTCATGGTATATGACGTCGCTCAAACATTATGAAAAACTATAAGCACATTTTTTTGAGGGCAAATAAAGAAAGTCACAAAAGCAGCATCCATGTCACGAATTTGTACGTAATTTACTCGTCGAACAGTTTATATCTGTAGCGGAGCTCGGTTGTTTTGAGGAAAATTTATGCAAAATCCCATTCTGGTCAGGCCGTTTGTTCAACAAACATTGGCTGTTAGCGCGTAGCATCGAAAACAACAACGTCAGGCCGCTACGAATACCAACGTCGTAGCACTTAATAACAACCAATAATAACAGTTCGCCTTTCCGTCCCATCGTGATAGGCTTTAACTAAGCTAGATTTACCATCGAAGATTACATAAGAGCCGGTGGCGCAGTTGCAAAGCTATTAGCTTAGTCACTGGGAGTCGTGGGTTCGCCTCGGCACAAGTATACGTTCCACAGATAAATGTTCCGAATCTGAGCGTATTTCCAAGGAAAAAAGAAAAAGAATTATTATAAAGAAATTATTATAAAAAAAGAAAAAGCCAATAATGAGATGTAGCGATCCCACTTGGGTGGGATAAGGGCGGTACAAAGAAGGGAAGATTACGTACGACTTAGCAACAGTATGGATGGTATTCAAACATCGGTCAATGAAATAACAATACGAGATTTCACCATAACATACGTCGTTTACCAAAATCGTGTGTACGCAACTGAAGGTCCTCGACAGACCCACCGAAGGCCCCTCTCGATATCCTTCCCGTAACATGACGCGGGCGTATTAGCATTTAGATTATATCCTTTTGCGGTGAGACACATGGCGACGTTTGCTTTTCTCACATTTGATCTTTGAAGTCGGATCCCCATTATTAGAAAACGACTAGCTGATATCGCGCTAGGGCTAAATCACCAAACTCATAGGTCATCAATTATTATTTAATTAAAAAAAACGAGGGCAAGTGCGAGTCGGACTCGGGCACGAAGTGTTCCGTACCATTATCTATGAACCGGCAAAAAAATTATGTCTGTTGTACGGGAGCCCCACTTTTTATTATTATACACATTTTTATTATTACACAAATATTTTTTTATTCTGTTTTTTAGTATAGTTGTTGTTTTAGCGGTGACAAAAATATAGCGTCTGTGAAAATTTCAACTGTCTAACTATCACGGTACATGCCATGGATATAGATACATATCATGGATATGTAGCATGCTAGTCAACTCGACCGCTACAACGACCTTCTTTTTACGACGGAGTGCTGTCGACGTCCGCGGCGAAGCTACTATTGGCTATCGAATTTCACGACGTAGTTACTGTTGCACGAATCAACATTTTTTAACGCACAGTAGCTCCACCCACTCGGTGATGCGACAGTATGGCGGCTGGTGCATCTATTGTATTAGCTAATTATCGCAAGATGGCCGAGCACGAGCCTTTTTTTTTTTAGTTAAGCGGCCATCATAATTTAGCCCCCACTGCGCGCACGCATTCTCAAGTGGGAGTCAAAAATGCAATTAACTAGCTGCTCCCCGCGACTACGTCTGCGTAGAATAAGCTGAAGGTGTAACATTAAGACTAGGAGATAGACTGCATTGAAATTGTATATAAATTATAGCCTATGTCTTGTTCTGATGTGTAAGCTATATTATTGTAAAATTTATTAAAATCCGTTCAATAATATTTGCGTGAACATCCATCCATACATACAAACTTTCGCCTTTGTGATGTTAGTAAGGATTACCCTTTTTATATAAATAGCTCGCATCATTTATAATGTACACACAGTCATTCTTATACTCATACTCGTACTCTCTCTCTTTACCTGTGTTTGACTAGTCAATGTATTGTGATTATCTTCCGCTAATTAAATCAGTTTGCTTTATAGTCCGAGTGTTATTTATTGGAAACATAGTCCAAGTGATAGTCCTCGATTAGTCTATCTTAGTAAGTGGAACAGGACAACTTAAATATACACCGCATCCACTTCACTGGTGACCCGGATTAAGGAAATGGAGACTAACAAGGACATATTACCAATGGAGGCATGCAGAGTTGGAATAAGGAGCCCCGTTTTTAATCCCAACGACCCGGAACTATGGTTTGCTCAACTGGAAGGTCAGTTCATCCTTTCCAATATTACACTCGACACTACTAAATATTATTTCGTATTGTCGCAACTGGAACCTCAACATACTGCTGAAGTAAGGGATATAGTAGTATCTCCGCCATCCACTGGGAAGTATGAAAAGCTTAAGGCTGAATTAATACGGCGACTATCCGCTTCACAAGAACGCAAAATAAAACAGCTTTTAATGCATGAGGAGCTTGGCGATAGGAAACCGTCTCAATTTCTTCGCCACCTGCAATTTTTAGCGGGTCCGTCAGTACCTTCAGACTTCATTCGCACTATATGGTCCAGTAGACTTCCAACCAACTTACAAACCATAGTTGCATCACAAATAAACATGAGTGGAAGAAATAGCCGAACTAGCAGACCAGATTATTGACATCGTTCCAGTAACCGGGCAAGTAGCAAGTGCAAGTACTAATCCTGCATCTTCAACCGCTACTATATCAGACACTTCGGTTGATTTACTAACAAAACGGATTGCAGAACTGAGTCGAAGGCTGGAGAGCATGGAAATTCATAGAAGATCACGCTCACGATCTAGAAGTCGAAATAAAAAGCATCATAATCATTCTCGATCCCGCAATCGACCTCGTAGTCATCCCCATTGCTGGTTTCACTATATGTTTGGAGATCATGAGATCATATCATGGATACAGCCTGGTGACAGACGGACAGACAGACAGCGGAGTCTTAGTAACAGGGTTCCCGTTTTACCTTTGGGTACGGAACCCTCAAATGAAATGATTATTTCATCTTTAAAATCATCATGTCAATTTCTACGTGGATCGATGTTCGATATAAAGATATCAAGTATTTATATGCTACGTATAATCAATTTAATTAAACTTAAGTTCAGTGAAGATTGAGAATTAAACTTTTTATCCTCTAAATTCGAGAGCGCAGAATCTAAATAGCCATTGTTAGAATGAGTTCGTAACTTAGAACCATTGGATCTTCACAGCTCCGAAGCTATTAAGTACGAAAGTAAGCGCATGCCGTATTCATTCGGCGGACTCCATTTTAAGCAATTCGTTAACTCGACTCGGATGATAAATTTAAATTATAAGGATACAATTGTCTTATTGCCGTTCTAGTAGGTATCGAGTTACGGTCTTTTTCCGGGAATAGACCGTAAATTGATACCATCAAGAGATCCGGGCCGGATAGATGTTAAATAATAAGTTTAGCATCGTTTACGGATCGCGGCGACCGAACGCAGCTACGGAATTATAATTCTCCACACCGTTCCGCTGCAAAGCTCCTCGATAGAACAAATTTCTCGTGTTCAACGATGAAACTTAATTTATCGCCTGGACCTCTTAATCCGTTTACGATGGATCGTCCGCCGTCGGATATTCGCAGTGCCGAAAGGAGTCGGTTCGTCAACAGAGCTCGATGGTTTCAATGTAAAAACACACAGACAGAGTCTCATCGCGTAATATACAAATTTACCGTTGCCTCGTCCCCACATACAACGTATCACGCTAGCACAATACGACAGCCACGTACCGCATCATCCCCTTCATCATATTAAAATGCAAATCGAAATCGATGGCTGCCGGGGTGCTACTTTTTTTTTGCACACCGCTTCCACGACAAGCGCCGGCGAGACCGACATCTATGTGAAGTATGAGCGACACTAAAACGGATACATCTATATAATGTATTGAGTTGATATAATGATATTTATTGGTTTAAATTGTCAAAAATAAAAAGGACTTTTAGCAATTGTGATTTTTAACATGTGTCGCCATTGCAAACCCCCGAGTCTAACTACGAGTCAGGCCTACCAGCATGGAACGTCAACCACTGACTGGTTTTCCGTGAAGCCGTGGCATTTCCTCATTCGAATGAGTCCATCAGCGGCCTTCGCGGCTCAACCAAATCCGCCTCGTTTATTTCGATGAACACATTCCGAGCGGCAATCGAGAGTGCGGTCGAGCGGTCGACTCCATCCATATTGGGTTCACAACGGACCTGATTCCGGCTGGCGGTCGTATAAAGTTGTTTGTTGTATCATCGCGCCCATCAATCGCATCAGCGCGGTTCCGGCGTCGGTAGTTTCGTCGCCCGCTTATGCAAATCTCACGCGCCGCGTGTCGGTAACGACGGCGTTGTAACAGTTTAAGAAGCGAAATAACAACGGGCGCGCTACGACCAAGGTTAATATCCGCTCGGGTTTAACTGACGCGCGCGCGTGTATGGAGCAATAAACGCTACGAGTGAAACCGGCGCGCTTATGGGAACGTCAGTCGTGTTCGGCTAAACGAGATTTCCTTTATTTCTTGCGCCCGTCAACGGGGAATAGAGTGAGTGAAACGCGTGATCGATTTCGAAGTCAGGCGCGGGTAATGAATTATTGGCTGCCTGTGATATAAGGGAATTTCAAATCGACAAAATATTTCCAAACAAAAGTAAATTCAGAACTTAGACAATTGGCCATAGGAAAATCGTATTTTTAAATAATTCCGGCCACATTTTCGAACATTCATATACAAGCTAAGTAAATTAAAAAAAAAAAAAAACTTTATCAAAAAAGGAGATACATGAACAATCCAGCCGTCGCGTGTAATTTTCACAAAACAGCGGCAGATAATTATGCGGGGCAGAGCCGGGGAACGGATTTTCGGTCGGAATTTTATGTAAAGACACACCCGGCTTCCCCGTATGCTAATGACGAGGTATGGGAGACGGTGAGCGCACGGGACGAGTATTTAACCCATGAGAACACTTACGGGGGCGGGTTGGTTTCAGATTAATAATCTATTGTACATACTGAATCTTAGACCGCGTCGTACGTCACATGTAGCACTAAGCTGTACTAATATATTAAAGCTGAAGTGTTTGGTTGTTTGTTTGTGAACGCGCTGATCTCTGGAGCTACTTGTGTTATATATTAAACGGTTTATGTTTATTTCCTTGGCTGGATTGGTTAATGAATGTATATAATATTTTGATTAACACAGGTTAGGTTAGGTAATTTTCATAATAAAATAATTACTTAATTTCATTTGTAGCAATGCTTGGAGCGAATGTGCATCCTTTACAAAAGACAATACCTTACATATAACATTCAACGATGAATATTTTTAACGAGATCAATGCGATGGCAAGATCTCTCGATCTCTACACGGTCAACGATAATATTCCATCGTACAACTTTATTGGTTACAACACATTAATTTCCATATTTCTACATTCTATTTGAATTGCTTAGAGCTCAAATGTTTCTAATGTTTTATTGTCTGTCTTCAGGGGTTAAAACATTTCATCGCATAAAATAGACTACTTTAACATATTTTAACTCTTTTTCTACGATTGGAAAGAGAAAATTTAACGTGAAATATGAACAAGTATAAAAAGTCCTATTTCCGAGCTAGAACTGTGTTCTTTAATCACTATCATATAAAATAATGTTAAAACATGCAGAGATTCCATTCGTAACCTTTGTATTAGTACCATAAGTGCCGGCTTGCCCCGTGCGCTCATTATACGGGGATGGGTGGTGTGTAATTATTATTCCCGCCCCCAAGACACAAAGATGCCAAGTTACAACAAGAGAAAAAATTAATTTAGGGCAAAGTCCTCGACAAATGGCGACGTTCCCACGAAGGTATATACCGGTACTTCACGGAACAATTAATCGTGTAACGTCACATACGCCGTCATCGTTGGTTCGCTTTTTAACAACAATACAGCTTAGAGATAAAACTTAGAAACTAATTAATGACATTTAATCCAGTGCAGATTCCCGTTTATTAAAAGAAACAATAACACAAACGCGAATGTGTTTTGCGTGTACTGTGGTCTTAGATACCGATGGTACATTCCGTTGCGGCGGCAGTCGCTCACACCGAAGCGTAACACCTACAGACCAGACCACACACACACACACACACAAACACACGTATCAGCCAGGTTCATGTAAGTGCGTCGGGGAATCGAACCCGATAGCCCGGGCATTATCTCAAGGAGCGTACCGTCCCTCCGGGCAGCGTAACTCCCAAACGCCGTTGTGCAATCGACACTGCGGCGTTCTTGAACTAAAGAAACGGGGATCCACTGGTGTGAATAGAATTTATTGATGTCAACTTACCGGCGGCGTCGGCCCGGCATCGGCGGCCGAGGTAGAGCAGGCAGGCGACGAGTATTGCGGCGGTGCGGTGGTTAGCGCGACGCCGCTGGCGCATCTTACCGGCGCCCGGCCGCGCCTGCGCCAAACACCACGTGACAACCCACCGCACAAAGCCCCCACATAACCGCGCGGCGTGCGCGCGAGTCGACCACGACCGACCACAGCCGACCGCGATCGACCACGAACGAGCACGGTCGACCACGACCAGCCGCAATACGCCCGAGGCGATAATAAATTGGCAGGCTCTACTTACGATACTCCTTACGCACTATACACATCACAACCGAGTTACGCCACTTAAAACGCTACCTTATACGACTAACGACGAATACCGACGACTATAATTATTATATCACAAAAAATACGACAACCGCTTCGATGATTACAAATAGTAGTATTAATAATAAGAAAATTATTCGAGAAAAAATCTCAATAGGACAACGACGAAGATTCGCGATTCGGGCTACATTTACAAAGACGTTTTTATTGAATAGATTTTAATGTTCTTTTTTATCCAACCGCGAGACGTTCTCTAAGCGCGATTGTCACTGCGCGAGGTCATCTTAGGAAACACAGTCCGGTAGTAGCACGGCTGTTTCTCAACCATATTCCATTGTTGTCGAATTTCAGTCTTCTCAACTGGACTCCTCGAAAGCAACACACCGGTTCGTTCGTCTGATGACACTAATTCGTGTTCTTTTCACAATCAAACACATTTTTCAATGTTTGTAGTCAGTGTCATCTGCGCTCGGCCCACTATTTCACACCTGAAATTGCCACACCATTATTACACATCGGCATGAAGTGACGTCATGCTGGCGTGTAATCTATTCAATTTAAAACGGAATTGGAGAGCGCATTTCACCCAACCCTAAGTTCGTAGATAGTGTTAATTTACTACGTGTAAATGTGCTACGACACGCTACGCACTTTTGCTTATCTGTTATAGACTAGCTACGTAAGGGTTATGGAAATGATAGTCTAAATGTTGACACTAGTAACGCGACAAGCATTCCTTATCAAAGACTTAACTATATTCGGAAATAGGATGGCGAACTGTTAATTTTAAAATAAATATAAAATATCTCGTACTATTTATAATTAATTTTGTATTTGACTTTTATGAATATTTGAAAGTTAAATAAATTTTAAAAGTACGATATAATATTATAAACCTATGAAATAAAAGAGGAATATATATAACGGTTTATTTGATTTACTACTGTATTGCACATTGTTAATTAAAACCCGTTAATTTTGAATTCCGCTTATTTTCGAATAGATTCTAATAAAACAAAATAATCTATATTTTAGAAACCTGTTACATTTTTTTTATTGAAAAAAAAAAAAACAGGAGTCACGTACAAAAGTAGCTTTTTAAACTAGGATAAATGGATTTATATAATCAAATAGAAAAACGGTTTTTAATTAAATAGGTAAAAAAGTCAAGCAGTCTATACATGTCTCACTGCTGGGCAAAGGCCTCTTGAGAACAGTGCGGATTGACGGACTTCACATATCTTCGAAATATATATTTTTTTGTTAATATTCGAATATATGCAGGTTTCCTCACGATGTTTTCCTTCACCGCTGAGCAAGTCACGCAAAATTCAGCACGTAAATTTAACAATTTCATTGGTACCGGCACCGGATATCGAACTCAGTTTGGTCGATCAATTAAAGGCGATCGCCCGGACACGCAGCTATCAAGGCTAATTAAACAGGTAAATAAATGTAGAATTACGAACACGAAATTACTAAAGTAACGGTCACGGCGCGAAACCAACGACAATGTACATAACAATACGTGGTGTATGGTGATTTAGTGCAAGCTGTCGCTACAACATGCGGCCAGTCGACTATTGGCTTATTTCACTATAACGAGCCAACTTTGTTTAATCGGAGTACACCGGTTCAGCACCGGCCTCAACTTTGGGGGTCTATCTGGATTTAACTTTACTACATGAGGGATAAATCCGTTCTGCCGAATTGATAACAATAGATATTGAAAGGTATTAAAAACATAAAAACCGGCCAATTTCGAGTCGGACTCGCACACGAAGGATTCCGTAAAACGGAAAAAAAAATCATGTCTGTTGTATGGGAGCCCCACTTAAATATTTATTTATTCTGTTTTTAGTACTTGTTATTAAAGCGGCAACATAAATACATCATCCGTGATAATTTCATTTGTCTAACTATCACGGTTCATAAGATACCACCTTGTGACAGACGCGACAGAAAGCGGAGTCTTAGTAATCGGGTCCCGTTTAACCCTTTGGGTACGGAACCCTAAAAACAACTACTTCCTAAATAGCTATTGTCACTTCTATTTTCCATGTTTCGAATTTGAATCTAGCGTGAAAGTACGGTAATATAACACGCGAAACACAAGCGATTAGTTATTGAACGCAATTAAAAACTTGAAAAACGAAAACGCCTTTTTTTAATGTGCATGGAAATGAAAACGCGGAACCTGATCAATTGCGCGGGCTTTTCATAATAAGTGCTGGTTATTTTTATAAACTTTCAGCTTGCCAGCGGAGCAAATGTGAAATAAAATTTAGTAAATTGAGTTTTGCAAACGCTCAATTTAAAAAAAATATATCGATGTTTTTTATACATTCAGCTGGAAACTTTTTGAAATCATTGACGCTGTTAACATGAAAAATATAATTCTGCTTGAAAATAATGTTCAATCTATGTAATTTAAATACGACTTGGTTACTCTCGGTTATTTGATTGACATTGTCATCTAAACACAAGAACGTAAATGTATACATAGATCTAAGGAACGTTATCTTGACAGATAATTAATGGTCTGTTCCGAATTTAACGGACACTGTTGCAATTTAACGGCTGATTTAGAAAAGTGATGAATCATAAGCACTTTGCTGATGCAAATTTCCGTCAAAAATCCGATAGCATATTTAACGCGTTTGAAAACTCTACCGGGTGTTGTTAATGCGGCGGTTATCACTTACGCCGCCAGATCGCTTGCCATCTTCTCACATAAAAACACATGTAAACACACTAACGGAGTACGGTTAAATTGACAATAAACACTCGTATAACAATGGCGTACATGTAAAGTACAAAAAATTTTAAGTAGACGTGTCTCTTGCGTCTATTTGTGAAAGTTCCAGTTCAAAATGAATAGCCAACGTGAAAAACGTTGATTGACAGAATACATAATTGAAGAGATATCGCAGTTCATATCAAGTTTAGCGAATTTGTAAACGAACCAGAAGCCCATATGTTTACCGATAACCCTCAGGGTTTTATTCGAAATTACATCCGTAATTTTCGCCAATGTAAACATAACTGCGGTCGCTGCTTTGAGTTCAACCCCTCTGCGGAGCAGGGACAGAAAACATCAAAAACAAAACTTTGATAATTCAAACACGAGAGTATAGCAAACTTTCTAAACATGAATTTATTGACACTTGAAGCGAGAGATGGGACGTCCGTTATTCTAATCCCCGTCCTATATGACTGGGGCACGTAGAGACTTAATTTACTCCACGGACCACACTTCCGTGGACCCAAATGATAAATTATTTTCATCGACATATTTGATATAAGGATAAAATATGATATAATGAAAAACAATTGCTAGTGTTTAAATGATATTAATTGTTAAATCAAATATAAATGAAGCAAGAGTGAAAATGAGGACAAAAAATATCTTCCTTTTTGTTCTTCATTGTGTATATCATAATTGAGCGGTCTAGAAAATGATGTGAATAAAACACGGCATCATTTTGTATTGTAATTTGTTACCCACACGGGTAATAATATTGTACATATTTATTTATTTAAATTAATTAAATTGACACAGTAGGAAGAGTGATAGACACCTACTCGCCATTTTCGAATCACTATGTCAATACTATTAGATATTGTATTAGTACTGATTGCATCATTAATAATAATTTATTTAAAAAGTTTTTGCATAATATCATACAATGGCGGGCTTAACACCAATAGGTGGTCTCTACCGGTCAACGGACAAATAAATAATACCTTCAAGTTTCGTAACTAAAAACAGCTAAACGCACGACAATCTCCACGCCCCGTTTCACAATGAAACTCAATTAATATGAACTGCAAGGCGAAAGTTTTAACAGAGATATTTCATTGCACCGCCGAAGGGGGAGCAATAAAATAGCCGTTATTCAAGCCGCAAGGCGAATTCAATAAGCAGCGGCACGTCTCGGTCTCAACTAAATAGAAAGGGACGGCCGAGTCCAAACTAAATAACTCAATGATACGAGAGAGCCAGCGCGCGGCGAACAGTTTGCACGACTTATAACTTCAATAAGAATGTACCAGGTGCGACCGTCAACGTCTAGCCGGAAAATACGAGTATTTGCATATGTCCCATTGTTTAAATATAAATTATTTCAATGCGAGAACGGAACGGAATCGATGCTAAGAAAACGACACTTTTTCGTAAAACATACAGATATATAATACAGGATATACGAACAAAGTAAACCTAGACCCCAGATCTTTTAATAATAGAAATGCGAAAAAAACAATGCAGATAAAAATTTGTGAAATCTACATTTATAGACAGAAAAAGTGTTGCTAAGGGACTAACTTTCCTACCATCGATCGTAAGGATAACTTTAATAAGTTCTCAAGATCTCATGTTGCATTTCTAATAAAATGAATGGTTTTATTGTAGTTGACTTGAATTTTTCAAGTATCAAACTTTACATATTAAAAAATTCCAAGGAAATTCAATAGCGACTAGTAATAAAATGTTGATACACATTTAAAAATTAAAATACAAAGCGATTTCTTTTATCATATTATCTTCGTTCCTGGAAATCTAACAAAATTTCTTTTCTGTGTCTGTTTGTCAAAATTCCAGTACTACTCTTAACTATTTTCGGAGTAATCATTCGAGAGTATCAAAATTTTGACACAGACCGTGCTATTGTCATTTAAGAAAAGTTATTAAACTGAACAACACAAGGCATCCGAGGCATTTACACTTGAAAGTAAGTAACCGAGTTACACGACTGAACTTTACTCGATATTAATCTGTTGCGTTTACTGTGATCGTATTAGTGAGAGCGCGATACAGTAGCGAGTCGTAGACAGCCATAATCATCCATCATGTCTCGCCTCGGAAACGCTTAATCACGTCCCAATCTTAATTAACTAACTAACGACCTTATTTGCGAAGTTTCGCTCGACATCCGTCTGAGCTTCATTTTTGAGTTACGCCACGAGCTCTCGTCGTTCGTTACAGACGAGCGTCGCTTGAATTTGACTCGTTTGTAATTTGCTTAAATTTCTAATAAGCATTGCATTTTTGAGTATATTTTTTTAAATAACTACACCACCACTAAATGTCAAATATATATATGATTGAAATAGGAGGCCACCTGCAAAATTTTCTTCTACATTTTATAATGTATCGATATGCCTAAGTAATTTTTATAATTAAATACGTGTACTTTATTACTATATTTTATACAACAATTTTTTTCTGATAACTTTGAACTCATTATTGCTTTAGATTAAAAATTAAAGGTATGCTTGTTTTTTTTTTTTTCGATGTAATCTTTGTAAATACAGTAAAATATATTGTATAAAAATACTTCGACTACAATTTTAGATAGAGCTCTCAGACTAAGCGATAAGTATTTGCTAAAAATGCGAAAATTATAGTGGAGGAGGATAATTTAATGATTTCATTAAAACTGCGAATATTTTTTAGCCTGTGGTAGATGCTGATGCGAATTCTGCAATGCACGGAAAAGCAAGATTATCCTACGTTGTGCTACGGCCTGACACAAGACTAATGTGATAAAAAATCAGATAAAAAAACGAACCTTATCTAGAACTATAGAAAAATCACGATTTTTGGAGCACGTTCCATATACAGTTCCTCCAATCACTGAAGCCGGAATGAGATCTATATCGAGTAGATTTCGAGAAAGGAAATTACGATAGAAATATAACAAAGGCCGCCCGTCGCTTGCATTGACAGTTACCGGATAAGTAAGGAAACTCCGTAACATAATATCACTATCTTATAAAAACGCTTGCATACAAAGTGTCATTGTAGACACTGAAAAGAATCCCCGTCTCCCATTGTTTTATCTTAGTTCCCTCCGATTACTGTTCCGCCTTTGTTCCTTTCTGAGCACTTTTTGTGTAAATCTGAAACTGACCTAGATAGTTCTACGGACGTAATTACTATTCCGTTTTTTAGTGTTATTGCTTGCGTGTGTTCTCGCTTCGCGAATGACTTAAATTAACGGGACGGAAACACTGTTACGGATCATTACGTCGGATTGTAAGACAAACCACACAAGACTACGAGTAAGCAAGAGAAAAATAGCTAAATGTAATTGTTGGTTTTGACGAAATGTTGGTTATATCATCCTTAATTAAATTGATAACAAGTCCAATTTCTTTACTAACGAAAAACAAAACCAACTTCAAATATCTCACTCTGTATTCATTTTATAATTGATTTTCAGGAGTTCCAAAGTATCTCCGAAGCCCAAGATGAAATGAAATTAATATGGGACCACAAGGGAAGCATCAGCTTTCAAATAAAAAATTATGAGGTCGGTTGGAAAATAAAAAGCAACATTAACTTTCAACGTATTGAAAATGGATCGCTTTAGCTTATAAAGCGCTTGCAGCTAAAGTCATCTGTTCCTTTTCAACATATGTGCAAAGTTCAGCAACATTCCTCTCGGTCCGCTGACCGCTGACAGCATTTATAACCGAGCGCCTTCGTGCTTTGGGGTCACATTAAGTCGTCGCTCCAGGTTTGTTGGCGTAGGTCGTTAGTCGTGATGGAATCCCTTCGGCACATTGGAGTGCTCCGATTTACTTTTAATCCAACGCCGCATCGACTTTATCGCATTTTAGTTAAATAAAACCGTATCTAGATTCATTCTTCTAAGTGCACTCAAACGCTTAGCTTTAGAATTCAAATGAACTCGAAATATTACTGCAATTAATTTTTTTCAATAGCTTTATTCGGCTGTGAAAGAAGAAAGGGTGTAATAAAGATTATTTACGATAGCAAAGAAGTCGTTTATTGCAATACAAAAGTGTGTATTTTTAAAAGGGAATTTGCTTAATTTTATTTCGCATTTTAGATAAAGGGACAGAACCAAATCCAAAGTTCCCGCAGAGACGCCTGTGGACAAAGTACTAAGGGTTCTATTCACATTGCAATACGGTGTATTTTTCAGGAGCATACGTGTTATAAATAGGTAAACCTATGTTTGTGGCGTGTTAAAACAAATGTAGCGCGGCTGTCACCGCGGCGGCTAATCCGAAGGCTTCACTGTCGGCATTATCACGACCAGAGCTGATATTAGGGTTGGCGAGGAAACAGTTCACGCGTGTCCCAATTTATTAAGACTTCTGTTATTTCTAGTATTCCTTTATGATTGTACACTTTGAAACTGTCGAAAATAAAAACTATCTAGGAATGTATTACAGATACACTCTTTAACGTGTTATAGTTTTTGATGATGTATTTTTACTCGAGACGATTACTCATACTCTGTCGCATAATATTCTTAGAAATTTGTGTAGTTTCGGCGTAATAACCGTTAAACTGTATATACATGGAAGACGATTAGCTTATCGCCCATCCAAAGTAAACAAAAAATACATCGTATATTCAACTGTGTCGCGGTCTTCGCTGTTGCACGAATGGGCAGGACCATCCAGCGAAAAACCACAATCTAACGGAAGATCGGCGTGAAGTTGAAGTGTTATACATGTGCGGTTGGTGGTCTGCATTCGGTGATCTGGCGAGTGAGTAAACCGGGGCCCCCTTTATTAAAAGTTGCAACGCAAGGGCAGCGGTTATCATTTAACACACAGGGGAACCGTCAGCTCGCTTATCATATTCTTACATGAAAGAAAAACGTATGATAAACACAATCAAATGAACGAGTTCTCACGTCATCTCCAACACGTATCGAAGACGGCGCTCTCGATAGTTTAATT